CTGGGAAGATATATAGTCTCTCCTCCAATATTACACCTCGCGTCAGTGTTTTGCTATGCTGTGTAGATGCTGCTGCCATTTATCCTGCTCCTGCTCCTGCTCTGGCCTTGCATCCTGTACCCTGCACCTACGGTGCCTTGAAAAAGTATTCCAACCCCTTGAAATTTTCCACATTTTGTCATGTTACAACCAAAAATGTAAATGGATTTTATTGGGATTTTATGCAATAGACCAACACAAAGTGGCACATAATTGTGAAGTGGAAGAAAAATGATAAATGGTTTTCAAAAGTTTACAAATAAATATCTGAAAAGTATGGAGTGCATTTGTTTTTAACCCCCCTAAGTCAATACTTTGTAGAACCACATTTTGCTGCAAGTCTTTTTGGGTATGTCTCTACCAGCTATGCACATCTAGGGGAGTGAAATTTTTGCCCATTCTTCTTTGCAAAATAGCTCAAGCTCTGTCAGATTGGATGGAGAGCGTCTGTGAACAGCAATTTGCAAGTCTTGCCACATATTTTCAATATTATTTCCTTTTGGACTTCTAACACATGAATATGCTTTGATCTAAACCATTCCATTGTAGTGCTGGCTGTATGTTTACGGTTGTTGTCCTGTAGGGAAGGTGAACCTCCGCCCCAGTCTCAAGTCTTTTGAAGACTCTTGACAGGTTGGCTTCTAAGATTGCCCTGTATTTGGCTCCAGCCATCTTCCCATTAACTCTGACCAGCTTCCCTGTCCCTGCTGAAGAAAAGCATCCCCACAACATGATGCTGCCACCACCATGTTTCACAAGGGGGATGGTGTGCTCAGGGTGATGTGCAGTGTTAGTTTTCCGTCACACATAGCGTTTTGCTTTTAGGCCAAAAAGTTTAATTTTGGTCTCATCTGACCAGAGCACCTTTTTCCACAAGTTTGCTGTGTCCCCCACATGGTTTCTCACAAACTGCAAATGGGACTTCTTATGGCTTTCTTTCAACAATGGCTTTCTTCTTATGGATTTCTTTCAACAATGCCTTTCTTCTTGCCACTCTACCATAAAGGCCAGATTTGTGACTAATAGTTGTCCTGTAGACAGATTCTTCCACCTGAGCTGTGGATCTTTGCAGCTCTTCCAGAGTTACCTTGGCTGCTTCTCTGATTAATGCACTCCTTGTCCAATCTGTCAGGTTAGGTGGACGGCCATGTCTTAGTAGGTTTGCATTTGTACCATACTCTTTCCATTTTCGGATGATGGATTGAACAATGCTTCGTGAGATGTTCAAAGAGTATTTTTTAATAACCTAACCCTGCTTTAAACTTCTCCAAAACTTTATTCCTGGTTTGGTGTGCTCCTTGGGCTTCATGATGCTATTTGTTCACTAATGTTCTCTAACAATCCACTGAGGGCTTCACGGAACAGCTGTATTCATACTAAGATTGAACTACACAGAGTGGATTCCATTTACTAATTAGGTGACTTCTGAAGGCAATTGGTTCCAATAGATTTTAGTTAGGAGTATCAGAGTAAAAGGGGCAAAATACAAATGCACTCCACAATTTTCAGATATTTGTAAAAAATTTTGAAAACCATTTATCATTTTCCTTCCACTTCACAAATATGCGCCAGTTTGTGTTGGTCTATCACATAAAATCCAAATAAATACATTTACGTTTTTGGTTGTAACATGACAAATTGTGGAACATTTCAAGGGGTATGAATACTTTTCCAAGGCACTGTAGGTGCCTTAAATCTGCTCCCCTTGTTCTTGATCACAGTCCTGGTTCCCTCCTTCCTTGCATTTCCTGTGTTCCTCACTTTGTATATATTGTACATATTGTATATATGCCGCCAAACAAGCCTACATTGTAACCCTCATCAACACCCTCTCCTCCAGTCCTCGCTGGCTCTTCTCCACTTTCAACTCCCTACTCTCTCTCCCCCCCACCCCCACCCAGTACCTCACTCACCTCCCACAAGATTGCCAATCACTTCCAAAATAAGATCGACGCAATCCGTAAGGACATCGCCAATGCTCAACCTACCTCCCCACCTAGCCTCCCTCACACCATAACCCCACCAACTCTCCCCTCCACTGACCTCACAACCGCCCTGCCCCCCACCACATCTAACATCCCGCACACTATTTCCTCCCCAACACTCCGCTCCTTCAGCCTTGCCACCACTGAGGAGGTCACCAAGGTCTTCTCAGAAGCCCACCTCACCACTTGCCCCCTTGACCCTGTCCCCACACAAGTCCTCCGGGCACCCTCCTCCATCATCTTACGCTCCCTCACCCACATCTTCAATCTCTCCCTCTCTACTGGCACATTCCCCAGCCCCCTAAAGCACGTGCACATCACCCCCATACTCAAAAAACCCTCCCTGGACCCCACCGACCTGAACAACCTTAGACCCATCTCCCTGCTGCCATTTACTTCCAAGCTCCTTGAGCGCTTAGTCTACAATCGCCTAAGCACCCAACTCACTGACAACAACCTCCTTGATCCACTACAATCTGGCTTCCATCCCCTACACTTCACCGAAACCGCCCTACTCAAAATCACTAATGACCTGCTAACCGCCAAAGCTAATGGGCACTACTCAGTCCTTTTACTCCTTGACCTCTCTGCGGTCTTCGACACAGTTGACCACCCCCTCCTCCTTAATAAACTACACCCCCTTGGCATCAGAGACTCCGCTCTCTCCTGGCTCTCCTTCTACCTATCCCAACGCTCCTTCAGAATTACCTATAACGCTACCACCTCCCCCTCTCTCCCCCTCTCTGTTTGGGTCCCCCAAGGCTCTGTCCTCGGGCCCCTTCTCTTCTCCATCTACACCTCCTCCCTTGGCAAACTGATACACTCCCACGGATTCACCTCTACGCCAATGACACGCAAATTTACCTCTCCACCCCTCACCTCACCCCTTCAGTCTCTGCCCGTATCACCCACCTGCTGAACGACATATCAGACTGTCGCTCCATTTCCTCAAACTAAACCTTTCCAAAACCGAGCTCCTAATCTTCCCCCCAGCCCGCGTACCCCCACCCACCCTCTCCATCATGACCAACAACGCCACCATCAGTCCCACCCCGCAAGCCAAAGTCCTAGGTGTCACTCTAGACTCAAACCTGTCCTTCCAACCCCATGTCCATTCGTTGGTAAACTCATGCAGACTCCACCCCCGCAACATCTCCAAAATACGTACGTTCCTAACCCCAGACACTACTAAACAACTCGTTCACTCCCTCATTATTTCACGTTTGGACTACTGCAACTCCCTTCTCACCGGCCTACCTCATCACAGACTATCCCTGCTTCAGTCTATCCTGAACTCAGCAGCCAGACTCATCCACCTTACCAACCGCTCCTCTTCTGCTACCCCCCTCTGTCATTCCCTCCACTGGCTCCCGATTGCCCAACACATTAAATTCAAACTACTAACACTGACATACAAAGCTATTCACAACGCTGCCCCAAACTACCTCACCGACCTGATACCCAAATACCACCCAACCCGTAATCTTCGCTCCTCACAAGACCTCCTACTTTCTAGCTCCCTGGTCTCCACATCCCACGCCCGACTGCAGAGGATGAGTTCCATCCTCTGGAACTCACTACCCCAATCCATCAGACTGTCACCTACCCTCCTCACCTTTAGGCGCACCCTGAAAACCCATCTCTTCAGGGAAGCCTACCTCACCCTCACCTAACAGCCGATCTCCTCCACTCCTCCTACCACTCCATCCCCCACAGCCACTTCCTCCTGTACCACTTTCCCCTCCCTCCTAGATTGTAAGCTCGAAAGAGCAGGGCCCTCGAACCCCTCGTGTATTGTTTTATTATTGTATTGTCTCATGTTCTGTCCCCCACCCACTATAATGTGCAGCACTGAGCAAACCTTTGTGGCACTATATAAAACTGTATAATAATAATAATATATAGTAGTTTGTAGTTAGGCTTCCTGTTACTTAGTTAGGCATTTTGATTATACTTTTGGGGTTTTTTTTGTATTTTCTGTTTGCTGGTGTATGGATGTCTTTTGTTTCACTATTAATAAATTTACTTTAATACACTGAATATATAGTTTGGTCTTCGTCAGGCAGACCTGGCCATCTCTGCTGCAGATTCCTGACAATGAGATTCAAATGTTCTGAGAATTTTTGTACAAGTTTTCTTACAACTTCCTAAGAAATTTCATTTGAAATTCTATCCATTTATGGTCAGTTTTAGTCCATTATCCTTTGTATCAAATACAATTAACTTCCTTAGTTCAATATTTTTCCTTTCCTGAGTAGTTTTGAAAATCTCTTTATGAACTAAAACATTCATGTCTTCCATAGAGTGATCTGGTTGTGAGAAATGATGTTCCACAAGTGAGCAGAAATAATCTTACTTATATTCTTCAATGGTGTGTCTTTGTAAATTCATTCTTCTTATGTAATTTCTGTCCTTTTTAACCAATATAAAATGCTTTTTTACAGTATTTGCTTTTTATGAGGTGCACAACATCACTGGGGGCACAGCTGTCTGATCCTGTAATACTGAAGTTCCCTTTTGTGTGTGAGACTTGACACCCTAACAGCATTGGACCCTACCAACCAAACCAAATTAAAAATGAAATTGAAACTATGAAATACGAAAACAAAAACTAGCAATGAATAAGAAATAATAATAAAAAAACAAAAACAGAAACTATAACTAGAGATGAGCGAAGTATTCAAAAATTCGATTCGGCTGATTCGGCGAATTCGCGGAATAAATTTGATTCGAGTCGAATATATTCACTGCGAATTTAACTTATAAAAAGGGTGTTTCTAGGCTTCAGAGAGCCTTTATATTAGTGCAGAACACTGTACCTTTAATTTAAATGCCCTTGGAGTCTGCCTGGGGAAGAGAAATAATTACTGTCCGTCAGTATGACATGCAGATGAGTGCCGTCGATCTTAGAATCACCGCACACTTCACTCATTTGGGCAAGTCACGGGGCCAAAACCAGAGTGTGGAGCCACAGTGTGGCGGTGGAGGCTGCAGCAATGGGAGGCCATACAGCACCCTATGACAAAATGGAACCCACCAGCAGTGTGGAGGAGACCTGAAAGAGGCACATGGCAGAGTGTGGTCGATGGAGACAGCAGCAATGGGAGGCCGTACAGGGACCCATGAGAACACTCTGACCTGGCAGCAGCATTGAGGAGGCCGGTACGGGGTCCCATGTGCAGATTACGGGCCTGGCAGCAGCAATGGTATAGTTAGGCCCGTAATCATCCAGCACCCTATGCACAAAATGGAACCCAACAGTAAGTGTGGAGGAGACCTGGAAAAGTCGGCACAAGGCAGAGTGTGGCGGATGGAGACAGCAGCAATGGGAGGCCGTACAGGGACCCAATGAGACACACTGGACCTGCAGCAGCATGAGGAGGCGGTATACGGGGGCCCATGGCAGATTACGGGGCCTGCGCAGCAGCAATGGGAGAGCCCGTAATCTGCCAGCACCTGTGACAAAATGAACCCACCAGCAGTGTGAGGAGACCTTGAAAGTGGCACATGGCAGAGTGTGGCGATGGAGACAGCAGCAATGGTAGGCCGTACAGCAGGACCCCATGAGACACTCTGACCTGGCAGGCAGCATGAGGAGGCGGTACGGGGGCCCATGGCAGATTACGGGCCTGGCAGCAGCAATGGGAGACCCGTAATCCAGCCAGCACCCTATGACAAAATGGAAGAACCCACCAGCAGTGTGAGGAGACCTGGAAAGTGGCACATGGCAGAGTTGTGGCGATGGAGACAGCAGCAATGGGAGGCACGTACAGGACACCATGAGACACTCTGGACCTGGCAGCAGCAAGAGGAGGCGGTACAGGGCCCATGGCAGAGTGGCGAAGCGTAAGCATTTAAATTGAAGGCCATACAGAGGCCTATGTTAAAATAATAACATGTTTGGTGACATGATTCATGGCGGATTTAGTCAGTTGTGTCAGGTACTGGTGGTTTTGAAATCACAGACTAAATCCACCGCTCTGGATTCATATTCACAATCTTGAGTATACTCCACACTTTGGGTGGACAGTCGTGTCCTCCGCTGAGTTACAATTACATCCTGCAGCCCTAAACACGCGCTCCGCATGCCACGGCTATGGTCCGGGCAATGGACTGCCTTTCAAGGGCAATTTCCAGCTAGTTGGGGCCATAAGGTCAAGTTTCGTTGCCGCAGTAAGTCAAGGGGATTGTCCCTACCTCGGGTTGGCTGGGTGCTGTCCAAGTAGGCCCAAGCCCTGTTCCCAGGTCCCCCTTTATGCTGCGGCTGTTTGCGGCGGTTTAAAGAAGTTTCCTCCCTCGCGGGGTGAAGAAAGCAAACTCATCATCGACTGCAGACGGGGGCAGCCCTGCGGTTTGGGGCTGCCACTGCTCCTACCCCCCCACCCCCCCCCTGCCATGGCAGCGGAACGGGGAGCGCCCCAGGGCCCACATGCCCGGGGAAAGGACGTTGGCGCAGAAAAGCAGAGCCCAAACTGACTACATAGGGGGTTTTTAAAGAAGGGGTTATTTTGGCCTCCCTCTCAGCAGGTGTAAAAAAGGGCCACCTTTTTTTGAACGGTAGCGAGGGTCCAAAAAGGTGGCCCACCCCAAAAGTCATCCCCTGTCTGATGGTTATTTTTCGGCGGGTCCCCTAAAAAGGGAAACCCCGACTTTCAATGACCAAATTTGTCCCAAAGGAATGCGGGGGACCCCTCCTCCATCTCCACAGAAAAACTGCCAACGGTGCCCTGGGTCCTTTTG